ACTTGTTCGCTTTAAAACTTTTGATTTATTTGTCCTCTTGCGAAAAACTGTGTCTATTTAACAATTTGACTTTCATTTATACCCAAATGCAATTATGTACAAAAACATGCCTATGGTCTGACTTTACCGCTAAATTTGTATATATGTACGGAAACATCATTAACTTGTTTTACTTTACTTCAACATTCTTAGGTAAAGCTATACCGATTGACGTACACATATATGTACATAGCAAATACTTGTATACATAAAACATAAGAGAAAACATAGTAAGAAGGGATTAGCTAAGAGTATAAGATCTTCACTGTTCGGCTGAACTTAATGTCGGTGACATTCCCGCGCCCGTAAACAAGCTGGATTCCTCGCGTTTACTGTGCAAAACACCGACATCTAAAACTGCGATTTTTGTTGCAGGTCTATGAAGAATTCCACACTTTGTTTTAACTTGTGCACTCCGGATTTGACCATCTTTAGATTTTATCACGTCGATAATAATGCCTTTGGGCCAGCTATTCCTGGGTAGATTATGATCCACTATTACAACAACATCGTTTATCTGTACCGGCGGTGGTTTTGTAAACCATTTGCAGCGTCGTGAAATGATAGGAACATATTCTCGTATCCATCTCTGCCAAAAGATATCAGCGAACTTCTGCGTCTGAGTCCAGCGTTCACGTAGGTTGTTACCGTCTTGACAAATAGGTTTGTATCCGCCTGATGACCCAATCAGTAGGTGGTTTGGTGTGAGGGCTTCGTCATCACCATTTTCAAGTGATACAAATGTGAGTGGTCTGGAATTAATAATGAACTCGACCTCGCACAACGCACTCCGCAAACTTTCTTCGTTGAAACTCATCGACGGAAGGATTTGATAAAGCACGCCTTTAACTGATTTTATCAGTCTTTCCCAAACTCCCCCCATATGTGGAGCCCCTGGGGGATTGAATCGCCACTTTACCTGGTCAAAGGTTACGATCAAGTCCTGGAATTTGATCTCTTTTAGCTTACCACAAATAATCTTTTCAGTCGCTCGAAAATTAGTGCCGTTGTCGGAAAATATCTGCCTGGGATAACCGCGACGAGATATGAAATTTTGTATGGCTAGGACGCACGAACTTGTGTCCAAACTGCCAGCTATTTCTATATGTATTGCACGGATAGTTAGACACGTGAATAGAACACCCCATCTCTTTTCGCGTCGTCTTCCCACCACAACCGATAGTGGTCCGAAATAGTCAATTCCGACATACGTGAATGGTCTCTCGAAGGCAGCAAGCCTGGCTGCAGGTAGCGGAGCCATTTGTGGGACTTGCGGCATGGAAATGTAATTTTTGCATCGTTGACACTGCTGGCGTACTTTTTTATATAGAGCTCTGAGACGAGGTATGACGTACTGTGCTCGTATGTGGTTGATTGTAGCTTCGTGCATCTGATGGTGAAAACGTTCATGAGCTGAGCGGACTATGAGAAATGTTACGTGATGGGAAGTAGGCAATACTATAGCATCTCCGCGGTTATTCAAGTGCTCTACTCGGGTTCTGCTTCTAATAACACCTTTTTCGTCTAAGTAAATATCCAGGTAGTACAATTTGCTTGTTTTGTTTAAGATTTTACCTCGCTGAAGGAATGTTAGCTCTTCGGTGAAATCCCTTTGTGCGTATTTGATTAAAAATTGTTGACCTTGTTCGATTAGATCGAAAGTTAGTCTGCATACAGGCGTTTTTGACGACACTTTTGCGCGTAAGATATTTACGTAGAGCAAAAACGTTGCCACGGCTCTGTACAGGCGCTCCCAATTAGAGAAATACTCAACGTTTAACGTTACATTACGTAAAGGTTGCTTTCCTATATGTAAAACAAGGTGTCGAATCTCTCTCAAATCGTCGTCTTTAGGGTCAATCTCGGTAAAATTCGGCCATGCCCCTTGCTCTTTTGCTAAGAACTCTGGTCCTGTGAACCACAAGTTGTAGTCAGAGCTGTCAGAAACCTTCGTGGCTAAATCGGCCGGATTTTGCTTAGAGGGTACCCATTTCCACTGACTTATGCTCGACGTTTCTAAAATCTCTCCTACTCGATGCATTACATATTGCTGTAATTTTCTCGGGTCCATTCGAATCCAGCGTAGCACAGTTTTCGAGTCTGTCCACCAAAACAAAGACCTAATGCCGATGCGTTGTACCTTGGCGACCATTGAAGCTAATCGTATACCTATTACTGCTGCTTGCAATTCCAGTCTTGGAATCGACAGCGGCTTGAGCGGTGCGACCTTGGATTTGCTGGCCATGATCATGGTGGAAATATCGTTACCCTTTATTATACGCAAATAACACACCGCAGCATATGCCTTTTCGCCAGCATCGACGAATGTGTGCAATTCGACATGATCGGCTTGTTTTAGAAGCAAAGAGTAGCAACGTGGTATTTCGACCGCCGTTATTAGCGCAACCATATTCTTCCAACGACACCACTTATCGTATAGCTCGTCGCACAGAGAATCATCCCAGGTAATTCCTGGCCGCCATACGTCTTGAAGAAGGATTTTCAATCCTATGGTGTAACAGCTAACAAAGCCCAGTGGATCGAAGATAGACATTAGCACCTGGAGGATTTCTCTTTTCGTCGGCGCATATGTCTCGTTAATGACGTCACGACGAAGTCTCGTAAATCTGCAAACATACTTAAAATTATCGCTGCTCGGATCCCAAAACATACCTAGTATTTTTGTCGTTGAGGCCCATTCTCCGACATTGTGCACAGATGCAGGATCATCGGTTAGTTGCTCCAGAACTGCCTTAGAATTCGACGACCAGCCTCGTATGTGAAATCCTGCGGCACGATGAATCTCTCTAACCTGTGTTGCTAGTTTCAACGCCGATTGCTCGTCGTCTTCACTGTCGATGAAGTCATCAACGTAGTGATTCTTTTTCACCGCGTCTGCAGCTCGAGGAAATTTTTGTTTAAACTTATCTGCATTCATATCACGTATGAAGTCAGCGATGCAAGGAGCGCAGTTGAGGCCAAAAGTTAGCGCGCGCATAACGTAAATACTCGGTTGTTGTAAGTCATCATTCTCGTCACGCCACAAAAAACGCTGGGCATGCATATCCTGCTCTCGGACGCTTATTCGGTGAAACATTTCTGCAATGTCACCACATACGGCTATTCGGCCAACTCTGAATGACAGCAAGATGTCTACAAGTGGATTGAGCAAGTCGGGTCCACTTAAGAGAAAATGGTTAAGTGACACACCATTTGCTTTCGCTGCCGCGTCCCAAACCATTCGAATTTTACCCGGTTTATTAGGGTTCATAACGACGAAAATTGGTAAGTGCCATGTTTTGGTTCTCGGAACGGCCGCTTCTGCCAATGAAAGCTTTTGGGCGTATCCTTTGTCGACTAAATTGTTGATCTGTTCTTGCATGGTAGATCGAAGTACGGGATCTTTGATGAATTTCTTTTCTAGGCATTTTAATCGTTGCAATGCATTTAAGTAACTGCTTGGTAGAGCCTCTGTCGGATTTCGCCATAAAAGCCCGACCTCGTAACGACCGTTTACTTGCTTAGAAGAACTGTTCAAGATGTCAAATGCCTTTACGTCGTCCTCTGATATAACCTCCATTGATTTTGGAGAATCTAGTGCGAAGGAGTCTTTAACTACTTCGTGCAGCTCATCATACTTCATTTGACAGTCGCACGTATGTACATTTAATCTAAATTTACCACCTTGGTAGCTCTCATACCCCTGCAACGTCCAGCCCAAACGCGTTTTTGATGCTATTGGTTGAGACCAATTCCCCTCTTTTACTTTGAGTGGAACCGCCAACTTCCAGTTATCTGCTCCAATTAATAGTGAAGGCTTTATGCTGCTGTACGATTTGATGGGTAGTCCCTTCAAAAACGGATACTTATTTTGCATTTCAAGTATATTGACGGACTGCTCAGGAAGGCCAAGGCTGTCAATCGCGCGAATGTTTTTTAACATGTATTTTTGGCTGCTAGTCGGACTAGAAATCTCTAGTGATGCTTTCTCGGAGTTTTCTTCGACACGAGTGGTATTCCCTGTCCATCGCAAACATAGTGGCCCGCGCTCACCCTTCACACCGAGTTGATCGAAAACTGTCCTCTCTATAAGTGTGACACTCGAACCTTCATCTAAAAATGCGTGAATATCAATGAAGTTATCTCCCCAGTACAAGCGGACAGGCACAATTCTAAACAGTGGACGCGCTTCGCCGCTGTTGTGAGTGTTTACTTGCTCCACCGTAGGCTCGACGAACTTATGCAGTAATGGGTGATGCTTTATGCTGCAGCCTTCTTTACCGCATACTTTGTCGATGAAACATTTGCGTCTGTGATGAGTAAGACATTGACGGCAAAGATTATTAGCTTTCACTATCTCCCATTTGCGGGGTAGAGCAAACTTTTTAAAAATCTCACATTGAGGCACTTTGTGCTCACGACTATTGCAAACACAGCAAACTTTAGTAGTTGGTGTGCGGTCTTTATGTTTTGAAAGTTCTGCATTCCCTTCGACGGTATGAGTGTTAACCGAGGCATGACTCTTATTTGATGCTAAGTTGACAACGGTGCTGGCTGCCTCGGCTAGGCAAAATATCCAGTCGCTAAATTGTTTTACGATTGGAACTTTTTCGTCCTTGCGATGGAGAGCCCAGCCCAGTTTATGGTTGTTGGGCAGTTTATCAACCAGTTCCTTGACCAGTAATGGGTTGTGAAGGTGCATGTACAGTTGACATCCCTCCATTGTATTGCATATGTTTCTTACGCAGAGAGCGAAGTCAACTAGGCCCTCTAGTTTGTCCTTCAGAGGAGGCATTGCGCGCGCTCTATTTACAACGCGCTCAAGTATGTATTCGGGTCTACCGAAACACATCCTCAATGTATGGATGATCTCTGGCACCATCGACGGTAAAAATAGTTTGCTTTTTACCATTTCGCGTGCTTTGCCCTTGAGGCTTGCCTGGAGCCGAATGAGGTTTTCGGCATCGGTGTATCCGGCGACTGCGGTACTGTTTTCAAAGTTAGATATAAACAGTGGCCATTCTTCAGGATCACCACTGAACGTTGGAAGCTGTTTGGGAATTGCTTGCCTGGCAATGAGCTGCGATTGTGACGGTCCCGTGTTCTGCATAAACATAGGGGCAGAAATCGACGGAACATCGCTGAATTGCGACAGAATTTTGTATTTACTATCCAAATACTGTTGCTGCATTTCCATCTCTTCCTTCAGCCGCTCCAGTTGAAGATTACGCTGTGCTTCGGACTTATCAAACTTCTCGCATGTCATACTCATCTGCTGCCGTAATGCTGCATCCGTGAATGTGTGTGGTGTATAGGTTGATGAACTAGAAATAGTGCTGGTCTCGAACTCATGTGGCCTTGCCGCCGTCGGAATCGTCGTGAAACGCCTGACATCTGTAGCTTGTGTTGACGTTGGAAGTGCGCCAAGCCCTATCGAAGTTGCGTAGGGTTCAGCTCGCATGAAATGCGAGGAAGTTGCCGCCATCGCCAATGGAAACGTGCTCCCTGTATCACGTGGTTGTGACATTATGAAGCTCGTTGATGTTGCTGTCGCAGTGCTTTGGACAACAGGTGTAGTTGTCATGGTGAGGACCGCCGTGGTCAGCGTAGATGCCCTGACGTGTGAATCCATTTGAGAATTCACAGCTGGCTCAAGTGATGGAACAGGTTGCGAGTGCCCTTTACCTTTTTCAGTAGTTGGCGATGATGAAGCTGTTGGTTTAGCGTTTGTAGCTGATACATTGCGCCGGCATACTTCGCAGCTCCAGCTCATATCAGCTATATTGCTGTCAACTCCTACACAGTCAAAATGATACCACGAATTGCAAGCGTCGCACTGTACCATTCTTTCGGTGTCAACTTCAACACATTTATTGCAGTTGTGCTCCATATTGTTGTGAATTTCTATTCAGCTTTTATTAGGAAAATTTCCTTTAAATCGATCAAAAGTTTTAAAGAAATGTTGCGTTTATTTAATCGCGACAGCTCGGAGGAACTCAAAACAATT